TTATTGGCAAAATTTGGTTTTAGAAAGGCAGTTACCTGTCTACAGATTTCAATGATTCATCCTACCCTTTTCTCCATTACCCCATAGGAAACTGCAAGTTGGATATATTAACTGGTTACTTCAGTCCAGAAGCTGACCTTTTCAGTCACAAGTAATAGATATGAGTGCGAGTTCTGACTTCAGTACTATTTATCATCTCTTCTCTCTCATCTCCAAACTTTCAGTGTGCTCTCACCTTGGCCGCTTGCCTTCACTTTCAATTTTCCTATTGAAGAGAACCAAAAAATCACTTTCATCTATGTCCTCTACCAAATAAAAAGTAGGAACCAAACATAAGATTCTATTTAACACGAACTGTTTCTGCTTCGTTACATAATTTCTTCACCCAGTATGTTTGTGTTTCATTTTGCAGTTAATAAAACTGTTTGACATATTCACACTCAACTGCCATCTTCAAATCCTTCTCTTCAGAACCATGAAAAATGCCACTTCTCTGTGCAAATCAGAGGAGTGGAGAAATATTCACAAATGGTGAGCTTGTTTATGCACTCATCATTAAGAACTTATTTCTCTGAGAGTAGGAAATTTCTGGAGATCTTATAAAGTCCATCCGACAACTAGTGAACTCCCATTATCCATAATTATTTTTCTGCTTTCATTCTTATTAAGTGCTCCTTTCTTCATGTATCTGCCTACAAGCCATGGATTTGTATTTTTAAGTTCTAAAAGCAGAAAATATCAGCTGAAATATTAAACCTGACTTCCTTTGCTTTTGTGATACCTGCAGGTGGTTCAGCATCGGTGGAAAGATAAACAATTCAATCAGCACATTTATACAGGCACAGAGACAGTGGTGAGTTGGCAGGGTTAAATGAAATGATACGAGTCTGCCTTAGGGCCATTTTAAACAAGAGATTAAGAAATGGGACACAAGCCAACAGGGGAGAGAGATGATGTTTACTTTGTCACAAACATCAAGTAAAACATCGCCTTGAATGCTCTTGCAAGGTTATTTCAGTAACCAAGGCATTCTTAATAAAGTGATACTCCTCAGTCTATGGGGTAGGTTTCTATAAACTCTAGAAACGTACTAATGCTGGATTACTAATATCTTCAATTCTACAAACATTAATGGAGCTTCCAAAATGTGTCATAGACTGTGTCAAATGCTGGAGAGACAGGGTGAACCCTCTCTGAAATAGTGGCTCAGCCCTGGCTACCTCTAAGGATGAATTTCTTTGGAGCCACAAAATAATATCAACACCCCAGCACCATTCTCCCAAGAGTCTGATGGGTCGGTGCATCTGGGTTAGGACCAGGCATCAGTAGTTTTTGTTTGTTTGTTTGTTTTAATTGCCAGAGGGAATGAGAGTGAGCAAACACTCCCAATCCCCACAATGGGGCATGGTCATACAGCAATCCCTTCTCCATCTCTCCATCTGGTGGGATTTTAAGCATATATGCACACATGCTTGGCATGTGCTTCAAACTTCTGGGGCTGGGATTTGGATTGTGATCAGTCATGTAGGATCTGTTTCCTTTAACCATTAGGCTATGGAGCCAGGCCAACCATAGTTTGTTAAACTCCCTAGTTTAGGTGTTTGAATATTGAACCAGAGTTGAGACCCATGGGAGGTCCTAGGATCTCATATCTCCTTAGAGAACACACAAAGGTATAACCACAATGTGGTAGCAAGATACATCAAGTGTGTGGCATCCCAAGTATACCTAACCTTGCCTGGGAGTTGGGGACCACAGGGACAAAGCACAAGAAATCTTCATCAAGAAAGGAATGTGAGCATATTTCCAAATTCTAAGTATCTATCACTAGCTAACAATTCTTGAATAGGTGTTACCTGTCAGGTGCTCTTGACAATATCATGAACAGTCCCTAGAAGTAGATGCTGCTACATACACACTGCCAAAGACGAAACAGACTCAGAAAGGTCAGTGATTTGCTGAAAACCACAAAACTTTTAAGGGATGTGGCTAGAATTTGAATCTAGGCCCTGGCCTTCAACTCAGCATAATTTCTTTTTTTTTTTTTTTTTTTTTGAGAGGTTTTCGCTATAGGGCGCGTGCGCTTGCCAGACAGACAGACAGAGACAGAGAGACAGAAAGCGAGAAATCACCCCCCAGAGGGGATGGTCACGCCGCAATCCCTTCTCTTCCATTCTCCTCTCGGGATCTTGGGCACGCACGCACACGCGCCCGGCGTGAGTTTTAAGCCACCGGGTCCGGGACGCGAACCGCAGTCAACTACGTGGGAATCCAGCGACATAGCCATTATGCTAACTGCTGGTTCCCAACTCAGCATAATTTCTGAGTACAAAGAAAAGTAAAATAGGCAACAGAGCTCACCCAAACTAGGTGGCACAGGTGGTAGGGTGCCACTGGGTCAGATTGGGGCCACTGGGAGACTAACCTGAACCAGGTTGGGTGCAGTAGTATGTGCCATGATCCTAGCTGATTGGGAGACTGGGACAGGGAGAGGATGACAAGGTGAGAGTGTCAGAAAGCCCTGTCTGGCTCTCTTTTTCTTTTTATCTCTTCTGTACTTCCCCTGTACATTTTAGAAGAGAAGAGAAGAGAAGAGAAGAGAAGAGAAGAGAAGAGAAGAGAAGAGAAGAGAAGAGAAGAGAAGAGAAGAGAAGAGAGGAGAGAAGAGAAGAAGAAGAAAAAAGAGAAGAGAAGAGAAGAGAAGAGAAGAGAAGAGAAGAGAAGAGAAGAGAAGAGAAGAGAAGAGAAGAGAAGAGAAGAGGAAAGAAAAAAATTTAAGTAATAGATTTAGGTGATTTTTAAGTTGGAATATTTCTAGACAAAAGATGCCAAGAAAGGCTGCCCCTAGAAGAGAAGCAGTGATGAAAATGCTTAATGACAGAGTCAGATTTTATTGCTTGTTTGTCAAATGCCAGTTTTAATATTTCTTCTGGGGTTTTCAAAACATGTGAATATTTTACTTTCCTTCAAATTGACCTAGTAGAGATCCAAACAGAGCAAGGCCTTACTGAAAAGTAATTTCTTCTCTGAACTGAATCCAATCTGAGCCTTGGGGGATTCAGCTGAGTCACAGTGATCTGTACACAGCACATCTCTGTAACATCAGCCACACCAATGTATCTCTTGTCCCTTCCTAGGTTGTGTGTGTTAAGTACACAAGATTTATGACCAGACCCATAAGCAGAGGCTCAGGCAGGAGTTAATTAATCAGGCATTTTGGTCCAAATGTTCTCATGGGTTGTGCTAAAGTAGTCCAAGCTCATATTTATTAAAAATACTCTAGATTTTATGAAGTATAGCAAAACTGTATCTCAGCTAAGCAGCTAAGTACTTTTTAATTTTTTTAAGGGTTCTTTCTTTCTTTCTTTCTTTCTTTCTTTCTTTCTTTCTTTCTTTCTTTCTTTCTTTCTTTCTTTCTTTCTTCCTTCCTTCCTTCCTTCCTTCCTTCCTTTCTTTCTTTTTTCTACAGGGCATATGTGCTCACCAGTGAAAGACAGAGGGAGACAGAGAGGGAAAGTAAGAAATCACCCCCTGGGGTTATGATCATGCTCCAATCTCTTCTCCTCCATTCTTCTCCTTGGATTTTGGGCATGCACACACAAGTGCCAGCATGATTTTCAAGCCGCCAGGTTTGAGACTTGAACCTCAATTGGCCATGTGGGTGTCCAGCACCTTACCCAGCATACCACCTGCTGTCCCCATTAGGTAAACACTTTGACATCTCAGATGCAAGTCAGCCTTTTAAGACTATTTAGTGAAAAAGTTAGTACTAAATCTTATCAAACAAAGCAAGGACATAACAGACTAGAAATTCTAGTTCTATTCAATAAGAAGTAGTTACTGTTATTTTTCTATTACTTTTTTTTTTTTTTGAGAGAGATTTTTGTTATAGGGTACATGTACTTGCCAGAGAAACACAAAGTGAGAAATCACCCCCAGGGAAAAATGGCCATGCCATAATCCCTTCTCTTCCATTGTCCTCTGGGGATCTTGGGCTTGCATGTACACATGCCCGTCGTGAGTTTTAAGCCAACAGGTCTTGGCCTCGAACTGTGATTGACTACGTGGGAGTCCAGCAATGTGACCATTATGCCATCTGCTGGTCCCTTTCCCTATTAATTTGAGCTACACATTCATATAGACATTCTCATGATGAAGATATTTTTATTGTTAAAACATCAAAATGCCTGCATGTTCCCTAGTCTTTTCTCTTCATTACACTTTTCTGCAACTTACAAATGAATGTGTGCTCTCACACACCTCCAAACTACCCCAGGCCTTCCCCCACATCCCCACTCCCTTAGACCACCTAGGCACCAAGAACTTGGTAGGTCCTGAGGAAAAAAATTGTAGAATGGACATCAAATGGGTAGCGCTGAAATCTTCAACAAATTTTGACTTTAATGATAGACTCTCCTGCCAACACTGACACTCCTAGACTAAACCAACCCCTTATCTATCAGAGGCACAGAGGAATTCTATAAGAACTGTCATTGGCGTGAGATAGGATTCTCATTTCTTTTCCACTGCTAGCTAGTCTCAGTATTTTACAAATTATTTACCTCTCCCAATCTGGCTTCCTCTAATAAAAAGTTAGGCTGACAATGAAGCCAAGGAGCAAATAGCTGGCTCAGATGATGTTACAAGGTCTCTTCTATTAGGTCATCAGGAAAGTCATAAGGTGTTACCCCATGTTTTTCTGTGCAAAAACGTGTCATGATTTTGCCATCAACCCAATACCTTGACATTTTGATATGTCTTTGACCAGATTAAACCTTTCCTAGTCTCACACAACACAGATTGGGCAAACCACAGAACTGCATCTGAAAGGGCTATATAAACACACACACACACACACACACACATACACAAATAGAATAATCCACAGAGGTAATCAACTGATTTAAGTGAATTAAATATATTGCATGCTAATCCTTACTTGTTATTTCTATTTGCACTCCTATCTGCTAACAAAGAACTCCCAAGCCTTTGTTTCTTACCTTTGGACTTCCGGTCATGATAGGATCTTCCTCGATAATGAGGGGTGTCCAAATACAAATTCTCAAGATCTTCTTGCCATGAATCTGGATTGAAGTGCTTGAGTAGATCTTCCACGGTATCAAATTCTGCAATTGTTTTGTCCAGAGCATCCGCAGTGAGAGTGGGATCCGTTACTGATGGAGAGTGATAGGATACCCCCTAAGAGTGACATGCAGCTCAGTGTACTCAGAAAAGTCCATTGCTATGAAACACAACAGTCTCACAACTATGTAGAAGGAACGTAAATGGGCTTTTGATTGTAAGTCATCGTATGTCTGAACACCATGCAAAAGCAGCCTGGCATTGTCTTGCCATATTTTTTAATAAGAGCAATCAATGGTTACATTTTTTTTTCAAATCAAAGCCAAACAAGTCATAAAATCTACAGTTCACCTGCATAATAGTCATTTTAAAAGATATAGGCTAGATGGAAACATTAAATTTCTATTTTCTGATATCTTGGTTCATGGTATTAAATTATTCAGATAGCAACAAATAATGAGAATTATAATTGTGAACTCCTTTCATGTAAGTTTTGATTATTTATTCCATTCCCCTACATTCAGTTTCTGTGTCTTTTACAGGTTGCCTAGCATTGCAGAAGATGTGTGAGCAGTGCTGGGACATGTGGAGACCTCTTCATACAAATTGATACTTTAACCAGCTTATTCCCTATCAACCAGGAGAATTAGCCATGAAACTGGCTCTCCTAACTTACGAGTGAGAGTCACATGGGAAGCATATTTTTTTAAAAGTGCTATAGGTTGCTAGTGATCCCAGCTGCCATTAAAACACGGTCAGGAATACTCTCTAACTGAGAAATACAACATCATTGACTGTCTGGAAAGGATTATGTATTTTGCCATGAAATGCATCCCTACATAAGGTTTCCAAGCACTTACTTCACTAACCCTTGTACAATCTAGAGGTAAATGAGCCATGATTCAAACATCTCTGTAAAAATTCATGACCCATTAACAAGAAAATAGAGAGCACATAGTCTCAAATGATTTCTAAATGTCTTTAAGGAAACTGCCAAACAAATAAGATCCCCTAAGGGCAAATATCTCCCATCACTAAGGGAAAATGGAAATTAATGAAACCTTGCTTTCCTAACACTTAACTGCAAGATCCTATAGAGAAACAATATGAGCTGTAGAGTTGTAGAAAACAAAGCCCACAATTTATATTCTAACTCTCAGGCAATGTTTTCAAGGGCCAAAGGTCAGTGAGCATTAGATGATCCCCACTCTCAGAAAAATGGCTTCTCTTTAGCAAAGTAAGGGGGTGTAAAAGCCTTAACCACTGGTGTGACTTAGGACCAATGTTCAAATATGCCCTGTAGGC